TGCCTTCCTTTGTGTTGCTCTGCCCCCTTGCAGTACCCTTCCAACCCTTTAAACTTCCAGGTCCTTCCAGCACAGTTAGGAAGAAAGTGGTCTGTCAATCACTAACAGCATTTCAGCATGCATTTATTAAGGACATTTGCATTTTCTCTTCAACAGGTCTGTTGATTAGGGGTTTCTAGCAATGCACCTTGTGGTGGTGAAATTTTAGAAATTACTTTTGAGAGGGTCCAGAGAGCCTTTGAAGTGACACTGCTCTGTCATTCTCCTGTCTCCTGACAGGGCGTCAGGATATTTGGGTCTCATCAGTGGTTCTTTTTTTTTTTTTTTTTAATCCTAACTTGAGGACATTTTTTCAATATTTTGTTCAGATAGAGTGGGAGAGAGAGAAAGAAACATTGATGTGAAAGGGACACATCGAGTGGCTGTCACCCACACTACCCAACCAGGGCCAGGACAAACTGCAACCAAGGTACGTGCCCTTAGTGGGAACTGAACCCGTGTCCTTCTGGACCACAGGCCAACACTCCAACCGCTGAGCCAAACTGGCCAGGGCTCATCAGTGGCTCTTTAAGGCACATGTACATGTACCCAAAAAGGGTGCTTTATGTTAAAATGCATGTGTCGGTACTTAAATTAACACATTCCACTTGTGATAGTCACTTCCACTGCCTTGTCACTTTTATGAAATGGGTCCCTAAAATTCATGCATTCAGATGATTGAGCCTTGAACCGTACCACCCAAATAGTTAACATTTAGTTTTCATTTATTTTGTTTAGCATTTTACAATAAACCACATGTTCTAAAGATATGAAACTGTGTTTGATTTTCATAAACTAATGACTTCGGTGGAGAAATACTTTCATAAGTATTGCTAGAAATGTTGAATACCATTCATTTCAAAGTGACAGGTTTATTACTTTGACATATATTCATTAAGTCCTTGGAAGAATTTAAATAAGATATATACTATTTCCAACTTGGCAGTGGGCCAGCATGCCTTCCCTTCGTTACCAAAGTGTCAGAGTAGAAAGTCTATTTCTACTGTCTTGAGATTTGTTTTGCTAGTCATCTACTGGGACTTCCCTATAAATTTGAAAATAATTTAAATTTACTCTTATTTTATAGCCACATAGTCATTCATTATGAAAATTTGGTCTGAATTTTTTGTTTTGTTTTGTTTTAGAAGAATCATTTTTTGGTTAAAGTATTTTCTCACAGACATTCCGTTTCTCTCATTTTGTTAAGATATTACACACAGTGAGATAAACAGATCTTACATGTGGAATGCAATGGATTTGTATAGGTGTGTTTATATATCCGTGTAACTGCTACTCAGATAAAAATATAGAACATTTACAGAACCCCAGATTTTCCTGCATTGGCTTCCATTCGACACCCCTCAAAGGTAACCATTACTCTGACATAGATTAGTTGTACAATTGCTTGAACATCATAAAAATGGAATTATGTAGTATGTGTTCTTTTGGGACTGGTATTTTTTTTTCACTTAGTATTATATCTGTGAGATTCATCCAGGTTGTTGCACATATCAGTAGTTCATTCTTTTTTATTGCTATGCAGCTTTTCATTGTACATATCAAAATTTATTCATTTTCTCTTAACAATGAATTTTTGGGTTGTTTCCAGTTTTAGATTGTTATGAGTAATGCCACAATGAATATTCTCTTCTAAAAGGGCCATTTACACTAATTTTTTGGAATTTGATATAGGAAAGTGCTCATTGCTCCACATCCCCATCAACACTTAGTGATGTCAGTTCTTTAATTTTTAGCCATTTAGTTGTATATCATTGTCGTTTCTCATTTCTCTTGGATAATTGAATATCTAGTTACAGAGTTCAGGTATATTTAGCTTTAGTAAATGCTGCCAAATAGTTTGCTGAAGTGGTTGTACTATTTCCACTCCCTCAAGTGATATAGGAAAGTGCTCATTGCTCCACATCCCCATCAACACTTAGTGATGTCAGTTCTTTAATTTTTAGCCATTTAGTTGTATATCATTGTCGTTTTCACTTTGCATTTCCTTGATTACTAATGATGTTGTAATATGATGGTTGACAATTTAGATATGTTTTGTGAAATGCTCGAGTTATTTATTTTTTGAGCATTTTCAAAATTGGGTTTCAATCTTTTTCTTATTGATTTGTGAAAGTTCTTTGTATATTCTGGATATGATACTTTTGGGTGTGTATTACAATAATCCGTGGTTCCTAGACTGTGGCCTGCTTTTTTGCTCTTTTATGTTGTTTTTTGATTAAGATTTTAATTTTAATGAAGTCTATTTTGTCAGTCTTTTATAATTAATGCTTTCTGTGTTCCTTTTAAGAAATATTTGCTATCCCAGGTTCATGAAGATTTTAGGTTTTTCTTAGTCCTTTATTGTACTACCTTTAAAAGTTAGGTCTAAGATCATCTCTAAGTAATTTCTGTGCATGATGTGAGGTAAGGGCCATAGTTCAGTGTTTTCTTATATAGAGATCCAGTTGACTCTGAACCATTTATTGAAAAGACAGTCCTTTTCTCACTGTCTAACAGTGGCCCTTTTGTAGTAAATATTAGGAGACCAGATGTGCACAGGTCTGTTTTTAGACACTTTGCTTCATTTATTTATTTATCTATATGTGCACCAACAAATACCATGTTATAAAAATTCCTAATATCTGACCATGTAAGTTTTCTAGTTTATTCTTCTTCGATTTTTGCCTTAGCTATTTTAGTTTTTTTTTTTTTGTAGTTTGATATAAATTTGAGAATCAGCTTGTCAGTTCACACACACACACACACACACACACACACACATTCATATACTCTCTCTCTCTCTCACACACACACACACACACACACACACACACCCTGTTCAGATTTTAATTGGTATTGCATTGAATCTGGAAATAAGTTGATAATTGACATCTTAACAATATTGAATCTTCCGATCTACACACTTGATTAATTTCTTCAGTTATTTAGAAATTTAATGTTTCTCAGCAACATTCTCTATATTTTGGTGCAGAGACCTTGATGAGATGCTTTGTGTTTATGAAAACTATTATGAATTCAGATTTAACAATTGGTAATGTTTACAAAATGTCCAGTTTTACTATTATATAGGACCTGCAGTTATGTTTAGATCTCTGAGGTAGGAATTTCCAAAGTAGCTCACTAAAGTAATCTCCACAATTATTTTGTGCTACAATTTCATTTATGTGCATTGAAGCATTTGATTAAGTGGTAGCAGTATTTAGAGTCTGATTTATTCTCCTGGTTAAATATACTAAGATGATGCCCTGTCACTACCTTTGAATTTTGTGATGTATTTGTCAAAGGGCTCAGGAACTAGGTAGTTGAACTGGAGAATCAGTAGTTTCCACTTTCCACAGAGCAGGAGATCAGTTTGGTCTTAAGCAATTTCTCTCCCCTCTATATTCAAAAAATTTAGGTCATTAAACCTAAACATGAATTTTAGATGTGGAGAATTAAGGTTGTGATTGCATGATGCCAAAATATATACTAAATTTAGTTTAGGAAGCTCTCTACACTTGTAGAAGTTACCTTGGTATATTCTAAAAATTGGCTGCAATTTTGTCTGAATTATGAGTTGACTATTACATTCCCAGAATCTAGTCAGAATCACATTTAAACATACCCAGATAATAAAAAATTATTGTGTGCATGTCCATTCGTGTATGAGTGTATTGTGGTAGTATTGACTGTATAAATTTGCTCTGAGGGGAGACAAACTATATCTTCTATTTCTTTATGTGCCTTAGTACATACTACTTTCTAAATGAATTTTATACTTTTTTTTTTTTATTATAGGCCACTTTTGTACAGCAGAAGCCTTCAGTTGTTTGCTTTTTAATTTCATTTTATAACTTCTATCTATGTTGCTGCCTTAGTTCAGAAATACCATGATGGTATTGGGCTGGGTGGCCTAAACATCAGACATTATTTTACACAGTTCAGGAGGCTGGGAAGTCCAAGTTCAGGGCACTAGCCTGGTGAACGCCCTCTTTCTGGTTTTCTTACATGGCAGAGAGAGGGAAACAGCTCCTGTCTCTCCATCCCCTTACAAAGAAGGACATCAATCCCATCATGGAGGCCCCACCCCTATGATCTCCTAAGGCCCCACCTCCGAATACCATCACATTATGGATTAAAGCCTCAACATATGAATTTTGATGGACCCAATCAATACATATCAATCTCCTTCTGTTTTAAAGTTTAGTGTGACCTGACACCAATATCTGAATTAAAGTCATGTTGAAATAAACAGTGTGGATTGTGGGGGGAGGGGCAGGGAGGGAGGTTAGTGACGGTGGAAAAAGGAGTAGAGGGGATAAATGGTGATGGAAAAAATAAAATTAAAATAAAATAAATATAACAGTTCACTTGTTTTAATATTGGAATGTACTTTGAATATGAAAATTTAATGATGCTAAAGCTAGCTAATTTCCTAGTGTCAAGTATATTGGAACAATTAGAATGTTGGAATAATAATGATAATAATAATAGTAATAATAGCTAATACAAGCATTTACTGCGTACCAGGTATTGAGCACATCACATGCATAAACAACTACTTGTAATCTTCACAAACACACTATTATGTAGGTACTTTTCTTATCCTCATTTTACAGAAATTCAATAAAATTGAACTTATTTCCATTTTTAAAATATGTTTCTATTTATTTTTTTAGAGGAAAAGAAGGAAGAGAGAGATAGAAACATCTATATGAGAGAAAAATATCGATGGGCTGCCTCCTGCATGCCCCCCACTGGGGATGGAGCCCGCAACCCAGGCATGTTACCTGACTGCGAATCAAACTGGGACCTCTCAGTCTGTGGGGTGATGCTCAATCCACTGAGCCACACCAGCCATTATTCCCATTTTTAAGTTTCTAATTATATTGTGTGAATTCAATTTATTTGAAAAAATTCATAAGAAATGTAGTGAAATCCTCAACTTTTTTTTTAAATAGATAAACAATGTCCTGTACTGAGAACAGAGGGGCATCAGTTTATACAAGACAACAGAGATAAGCTTGAAGTTTCAGGTAAGCATTATAATCCTTTGCAAAGAAACATGTTGTATAAAATTATCACCAAACATGTAATCTGCAGGTGATTTCTTAACAGTGTAGTTTAGGATGATGGCATTAATGTAAAAAATTAAAAGTAATGAAGATGGATGGTGTAGAAAATATGCTGAAAATAGAGTTCTATATTGTTTTGAATACCAATAACAATTCAGCTTTTTGGAGAGAAAAAAAAGGTTATTTAAAAATATGGAAATTGTATACATTGTAGAAATTTTGAAAAGAAAAGAAAGTTTATGAGAAAGAAGATCTCACTACATTACCCCACATCAACATATATTTTTTCTAAAGCATATTTTTTTAAAGGTTGCTTAGGTTTCAATTGAATGGCAGTAATATTTTAAACTTATTCTCTGCCTTCAGTCATCAGAGCTGCTACTGATTATTTACTTAGGATAATTCTCTAGGTCAAAGAAAATTGATACTTTCATCTTTTGAAATATATTATATCCTTCTACATCCTAAAAGGAGAAAAATTACATCAAGAAATTTTACTGATCCCAAGCAGCAGGACTTTAGTTTAAATAAATCAGTGCATAGATAAGGACAACAACAAAAAAATCTTATTAAAAAATCAATATCCTTTTGCGTTTCCTAAAGTTAATAAAACTGCTGGATTAAATAATTTGTCACATTTTACAGGTTTTGATCTAGGAGAGAGCTTTTCTTTGCGACATGCACTTTGTGAAGGTGATAAAACCTGTTTCAAATTGGGAAGTGCGCTTCTTATGAAAGATACTATGTAAGTAAAATAATTTCTCTTTATATTGTAATAATACCACATAAACTACTTTCTGAAGAGATTGCAAATAATTTGTTAAAAAATAAATAAAACATCTCACTACTGTCATACTTGAATGCTGTGGTAAATGTTCTGCATATATATTTGTTGTCTTTAATAATCCTTGCGATCTGACCTTGCTCTGTGGTGTAAATACCACTTACATGTGCAGGTAGAGGCATAATCTTTAGAGAATAGTAAATACATTTGTTTCTTGAAGAAGTATTTTTATTTAAAGTAGACATGACCAAAATTATATTTTAAAATGTAAACTTGAAACCATAAGGCACAGTGTAGACTTGGAAACAAAATGCTTATATTTATTATATTTATTTCTACATGCTTTAGGCAGATAAATAAGCTTCATGAGCAATTAAAATAAAAGAACATGGCCCTTGGGTATTCATTTTATATATTGTGTAAATAGTAAAGAAAAACTCTTTTTCAGTTTTATTTTTGGTCTTGATACTCATTTCATTTCAAAATGGTTTTACCACAGGTTTCCTTTGTTATCTTTATTATTCTTTATCTGCTGATAAACCTGGGATTAAAAAAAAAGAATCAATTGCCATTTAAATACTGACAATTGATCAACAACTCTTCAGGGTCATAATAATTCCTCATATGGTTGACTATATGTAACTGGAGGATGCATACATAGTAGTTTAGAAAGCTTGAGTCCAGGAAGTCAGATATAGCATATATGGTCACGATATTTACAGTCTTGGAGTCCAAGATGAACATTTTAGTATACGAATACGCTGCAGTGAATAAAAGCATCAAAATTCTGTTTGGTTTAAAATGCAACACAGCTGTTTTAGTGTGAAAGCATATATGAACATTTTCATTTCCTACTGGGTAGCCTAATAGTTACCAGACAGGGTTGTTGAGAATCTCTGCATTTGAATTCTCAGAGGGAAATAAGCATAATCATCTCTTTGCCTATCCTCAGATGCTCCATATAAACCATGTTTCTAATTCATCTTTTTTTCTTGAGCAAAGTTTCTTTTCGTTCTTCTATTTTGTGATATTTTAGATACTTTTAGTTTAATGATATGGTTTCTTAGAAATAAATTGCTCACTAATTGGTAAAAACAAGAGTGTAAAGGAAGAGAGTAATTTGATATTGGGGTATATAATGGGTGATTGTTAGGCAAGGCACTTCCACAGATGTAACTATAGTGGGTGACTTTTAGGTGGCTTCACAAGTAGGCATGAAACCCTCAGGGCAAAGCAGTCTCATGACTGGATAGTCATGCAGGAAAAAAAAAAAAAAGTCACAATGTATCTCATATATATTTCGCGCGCGCGCGTGTGTGTGTGTGTGTGTGTGTGTGTGTGTTTCTTAACTACTAGGAGATAAATTTAATCAATTAATTTAAGATAGTAAATTCTCTTATAAAAATTAAGATATCTTTTCCTTCACATCCTCTTCTTCATGATTTAAACCCCTGTACTACTGGGCAGGTAGCTAAAGGATTGGAGTGAAAAGCATTTAAACTTCATTGGAACTGTACTTAGCTAATTTTAAGTAGTTATAATGGAAAACTTGTTGCCACATTTAGGCAATGCTGTTCCCTTTGAATAGGTGTGATAATAAATATTAGGTACAATGTGAAACTTATTTTTTGACCTTTGGCTCTAAATCACTGTGCAGTCCCCAGGCGATCGATGTAAGTGAATTTTCTGACTCTGCAAGCAGAACTCTGGTACCTCCACTCCAGGAAACTGGAGGGTATCTGGTTAAGCTGACTAGCAAGTGTCAAGTAGCTTGGCGCATCTCCACTTAATTTCACTAACTTAGCCAAGTATGCTAGGATGCTTCTCCCGCATGATGCCATTTTGATTTTTCAATAAGACTGGAGTAAAGTTGCAGCTATTTATACATTTGTAAATAAGCTGCCTTGCAGAATTAGCATGGGAAAAGTCAGATGCTATCTTATATAAAAAATGGGGATTCTTTCTGTGCCTGAGCTTGTTTTTATTGTTCTGGCATCTTCCAGGTGAGATTTGTGAGGGGAGGGATCTAACAATTGTGTTGGTCAGATACCTACCTATTTGGCACACTTAATACCTTATGTCTGGCTTATGTGGAGATCTCACAGGCCACTCTTATAAGGGCCCTTCAAATAAATGTTACGGTATACTTCAAGATGGCATGGGCTCGGGGAACATGTGAGGGGTTTTATGTGCCTGGTTTTATTTGAAATTTATGTCCATTTCTTTAGTATTCCTTGTGATAGCCAATGGTATGTATTTAGGGACCTTAAAAATTCTGGGTGGCATGATACCTAGTTTTTTAGAATTATCTTTTGATATAACAGTTCCTTGACTTCTTGTATCTACAAGTATCTCTTATTATGTGAAATAAATAATTAATTATTTCAGTACATATTGAGAGAGAGCTATATCATAGATTATCATATTCTGATTATCTTTAAATTGTGTTTTGGCACTTATCAGGACAAAATGGTAAGGTTTTGAGAGAAAATATACACAAAATGTGTGTATGCTATGGAGCATCTTATTTTCTTGGTATAATAAAGTCCTTAGGATTCATTAGCTACTTCTATAGAAACATGTTTTAAATAAAAATGTTTAGTAGTTGAATATTTTAGAAGAGTTGATAAATGTTGAATTTCCATACACTGTTGATTCTGAAGGGGCCACACACCCTTATTTTGTCTAGCCAGTGGGGGAAATCAATCCATTGTAAATATACCAGGGAAGAGAATGTTCTGATCTATTATTGAATTCAAGGATGGTAAAGAGCTTTCTCTCCCAGGTTCCATGATTGATACCTACTGACTATCTAGCATGCTGTGTTGAGAAAGATTCTGAATTCATTTTGGGTTCAGCAGGGGTGAGTGCCGTGACCCATTAGCAAAAAGAGGCGAGAAGGGAGTGCTCATATGGGCTTCAAGTGTGTAGTTTCTCTGATGGAGGATAATTCCTGTGAGCTGGTGGCTTTTGCAGCAGAAACAATCCCTAAGAATGGGAAACAATGAGGCTATGTGAGAAAAAAAATAGTCAACACAGATGAACTTAAATAAGATTTTATGAGCTAAACACAGTGTCATAATTGACAGGTATGGTCCCTTTAGCTTTGGCTACAAAGAAATCTCCAGAGAAGAACATCTCTCTCTGTCTTTTGTTAAATTGGAGGTTGCTTTCTGGAAGCAAGGGCTATTCAGTTTCAGGGCTTTACATGGGAAAAAAAGAGCTGGTAGAAATAGTCTTATTTGTACTTTCTGTTTTTATAAACATAGTAATCCTCAGCAACTAGGAAACCCCAAAATATATATTTGGAAGCTGTGTAGTGTTTTGGGGAGTTATTCACGTTCTCTGGACTTTAACAGTTCCCCTGGAAACAATCCTGAATATGGGGGAAAAGTTCTGTAAATTGCAGCGTGATCTGTGCCTCGTACTTGCTATTGTTGAATGATTCACCCCGTGGGCATGTCTTTTTCACATGGACCTTTCCACTAACTCTAAGATTTTTTTTATTGTGAATAACACTTCAACATACAGGAGAGTTATTTCCTTCTGTGTTTAGGATTATTTCCATAAGGTTGATTTTTTTTTCAAAGTGCAATTCCTAGTTCATTTTTAGAGATATTGATATAAACTTCAAATTATGTTCCATTATTGCTTTTTAAAATTAATTTATTTTTTTGTTACAGATGTTTCTCCTTTTTCCCCCATTGACTCCCTCTTCCTGATCCCCCACCCCCACTCCATCCCCAGCATTGTTGTCTCTGTCCATCCATTATACATACATGCATATAAGTTCTGTGATTTATCTCTTCCCTCCCCCAATGTCCACTTCTGAGGTTTGTCAGTCTGTGCCCTACTTCTATGTCTCTGGGTCTATTTTGTTCCTCAGCTTGGTTTGTTCATTATATTCCACAAATAAGTGAGGTCATGTGATATTTGTCTTTCTCTGATTGGCTTGTTTCACTGAGGATAATACTCTCCAGGTCCCTCCATGTAGTCTCAAAGGATAAGAGATTTTTCTTTCTTACAGCTGCATAGTGCTCCATTGTGTATATGTACCACAGCTTTTTTTTTTTTTTTTTAATCCTCACCCGAGGACATTTTTCCATTTTTTGTTCAGATAGAGCGGGAGGGAGAGAGAGGAAGCGAGAGAGAGAGAGAGAAACATCAATGTGAAGGGACACATCTAGTGGATGCCACCCGCACGACCAACCAGGGACGGGGACAAACTGCAACCGAGGTATGTGCCCTTAGCGGGAACCGAACCCGGGTCTCTCTGTACCGCAGGCCAACGCTCCAACCTCTGAGCCAAACCGGCCAGGGCTGTACCACAGCTTTTTTATCCACTCATCTGTTGATGGACACTTGGGCTGTTTCCAGATCTTAGCAATTGTAAATAGTGCTACTTTGATTATAGGGGTACATATATTCTTACTGATTGGTGTTTCAGGCTTGTTAGGGTATATTCCTAAAAGTGGGATCACTGGGTCAAATGGCAGTTTAATTTTTAATTTTTTGAGGTAACACCATATTGTTTTTCATAGTGGCTGCACCAGTCTGCATTCCCACCAGCAGGGTACTTAAGTCCTCTTTTCTCCACACCTTCACCAGCGCTTGTTTGATTTGTTGATACTGATAGGTGTGAGGTGATACCTCATTGTTGTTTTAATTTGCATCTCTCTGATGATTAGTAACATTGAGCATTTTTTCATATGTCTCTTGGCCATTTGTGTGTCCTGTTTGGAGAGGTATCTATTTAGGTCCTCTGCCTATTTTTTAATTGGGTGTTCCATCATTGTTTTATCCATCTATTCTGCATATTATCCAATACCTTCAGTAGCATTAGCTGTTATAATTTTATAATTCTACTGTTTTAAAAATTTTTTATTGTTTTTTTAAACTGAGAACATATCAATTATAAGTAAAATCTGTAATTTACTCTGTACATATTAGGGATTCCTGAA